TCTTGGAGCTCAGACTCATCCTACGACCCGGATTACTTCACCCCTTGGATAAACGAACTCCTAAGGCTGCGATACCCCTGTCACACGGAGAATCGACTATGTGCGTGGGAATTCCACTGCGCCACCTCTAGCGACCCCCGGTGCTCTGATTTCCCTTCCCCCGACCATACCTACTATTTCATCCACCCGGGATTTGTCGTCATCACCACCAGTTTCCCTCCTTTTCGCCTTCTTTTCCCGTATCATCAACTCAGCGTCGTTCCGTGGCCGGCCATAGCCCCCTATTGGCCCAGCACGCCCAGCGGGAATTGCCGACGTAGCGGCGAACGGAGAACCCCGAAATTCCGAAGGCCCAACCCAAATACGCAGCAGCCTGTGCCACGTGGCGGCCCCCAAAGGTCCAACTTTTCGGGACCGCCTCCGCCGCGGAGGGACTTCCCCGCAAACCGTCGCCCACAGTACCCCGGCCCCATCGGGCCTTGAGTCGCTGCGCACGCGCCCCTTATTCGCCCAATCGCATTCCTACCCTTAAGACTCCCCCACTTTCCCAAAAATCCTTGGCACACCCCTTTTCGCACTTCCAGGCCCACATCCTACTCTGATCAGGATGTCGCGCTGGGCGTGAGGTTGGTATCGGAGCCTGACACGTGGCTAGGGTCTTAGGATTGATAGCACGCTAATTAGGCGACCTGGCTAACCGTGGGCGACCTCGCCCTCGGAACGTGCATAGACGCGACCCTATCGTCACTCGAAGCAGATCGGCTAACCGACGAGCAGCCAATATGGCTGCCAATGTGCAGAACCCGATTCCGCAGCAAAATGTCAATCAACCGAATCGTAATCAACCTGCCCCACGTGCACGGGCTCCCATGACGCCACCTGATCTATATTTGTTTGACCCTGCGCACCACCTTGCAGGAGCGTGGTTGGCTACGCTCCGAGCACAGCAGTATGACGATAACGAAGCTCAGGTAAACATCTTCGCTCGATTGGGAGGAGACGCTCATCACTGGTTTAGTACCTATGTGTGGGTAGATCTTCAGACCTTCGAACGAGACTTTCTGAACCGATTAGATTACGTACACCTAGAACAAGCGCTTTACATAATCAAGGATCGAGTGCAAAAACCTCTCGAGTCCGTTGCGGAGTATCGAAACCGGTTCTATCGAATGTTTGTAAAGATTGAGCGAGGGGAGCAAGTAGGGAGAGATCTGTTCATAGACGGACTACGCAGCCGAACAATAAGGGCGAAGGTGCGAAAGCAGTTTTCCCCCATCAATCATACATTACAGCAAATCATGGACGCGGTAGAAGACATGGAACGAAAGTTCGCGGCGAACTTCCAGGAAGGAGAGGACTATTCTAGGGAAGGAGATTCGTCCGAACTCGCAAGGGCAAAAGCTGAATTGGCTGCGCTGCAAAACAAATTCGAAAATATGGGGTTCGTGTCGGGTCCTGTCACGTATATGGAACAGATAGCCCCTAAACGACCCGTTCCAAGTGAGATCCCGAGTGTCCCCGTCCCTGTAATACCAACGCCTGTAAGAACGACACCCCCGCCCCCAGTCGAGGATCCCGTACGATCGAATGAATCGACTGCCATACTCGAGCTGACCAAAACCTTGGTTAGTCTAATTCACGAAAGCAAAAAGGAGCAGCGAGAGCAAAATGCTCTGTTGGAAGCCATGATGAGAAACATGTGGCCCATTGCGGTGCGTGCCCCTCCGATTCAGCAAGGGTTAGCCCCGGCACCCACTCTTGGAGGAGTCGCAAGCAACCTAAACGTTTGTTATGCATGTCATCAGCCTGGACATCTAGCCCGTGATTGCCCTCACAGGCCTCCGCAACAGCGTATCGGGGTCGCACCGATGGTTGTGGCCCCCATCGCTAATGGACCAGGACGAGTAGGAGCTTTGATGGAAGAAGTAGACGGTGGGGGGAGTGCCCTAGCCACCACGGAAGAGGCCGCCGAACTAATCCCGTTAGATCAGTACGTATCACTTGGTTACCCCGAGCTTGGAATGATCGAAACGATCAGACCAGCGCCAGAACAAAAAGAGGTGGCGGAGTGGCGACCTTCTCCAGGAGAGATGGAGTCGGGAGGACCCACCTTCGTCACCGGGGAAATCGATGTGCTTAACATCGTTCGAGCCTTAGACCATCGGATTCCACTCTCGATCGTTCATTTGCTTTCGATCTCAGAACAAGCTAATGAGCAAATGCTACAGCACTGCGAGGCGAATCGAAAACGATTCGCCCTCGCTCGAACACCGAATGTAAAGGCCAAAAGCCCATCACCAGAAGAAAATATGGCGGGTTCGTCGGATCCAATACGGGTAGGATTAATACAAAAAGACGATCATTTCCTACAGATTAAACCCATCCCGTGGAAATTTGCGGAATGCGATATTGAAATAAGGGGAATTCCGTACAATGCAATCATCGACTCGGGAGCCGCTGTTTTGGCTACCTTGCTGAGAGTGGTCGAAAGGGCAGGTAGGAAAAACGATCTAATCATGCTTTCCGAGAAAGATCAGCTCGTTTCGGCGGACGAAGAAAAGATTAAAACAGTGGGAAGAATGACCAATGTCGCCTTTCGACTAGGGAAGGTGCATGCACTAGGAGATGTTGTCGTGCTAGATGTGAATACCTACGACGTTCTTTTCGGACTTCCTGCTCTAGTGGCACTACGAGCAAACCAGGATTTCGAACGACGATCGATCGTCCTCCGAAATACACGAGGAAAGCCCTATGCGGTGCCTATGAAACTAACCCTTCGTACCACCATCAACGCAGTCCCACGGGTTTCGCTGATGATGGCAGGGACTCTCCGCATGATCTCCTGGGATGAATCCGCAGATGGAAAGTCGTCAACGAATGATGCGGACAACAGTGATGAGGATGACCCGGAGATCTCGAAGCTAGCACCACAGTGTGTTTACTACCCGCCACCCAGAACGATAGCAAGAACGATGCATCTGACCAGTAGGAATGTCCAAAGGACCAACGCGATGATCTTGGGTGAACCCCTCGTGCAGATTTCGAGGATGGTCGGTTCTTTGAAGATTTGCAACGTGCCTGCCACGTTTCAGCGAGCGATGAACATGATATTCCAGAACTTCGTCAACAAGACGTGGCTGACACAGGGGATGATCAACTTCTGCGTGATCGTATACATGGACGATATCCTTGTCTACTCAGAGACCTATCACGGGCACGCGCAACACATCGAGTGGACATTGGGAGCGCTGAGAGACGCTGGGTTCAAAATCACGCTCGAAAACAGCGAATTTTTCCTTTCGAAAATTTCGTTCTTGGGCTATGTCGTGACACGTGGAGGACTGCGGCCGAACTCAAGAAAGGTTGCGGCGGTAAGAGAAGCCCGAGTTCCCACGTCGCTGACGCAGGTTCAAGCCTTCTCAGGGTTGGCATCGTACTATCGTCGCTTCATCAAGGGTTTCGCCGCGATTGCGCGACCACTAACGAACCTGCTGCGGAAGGACAAAAGTTTCACCTCGTGATGGATCACGAGCCTCTGCTAGCTTTGAAGAAGCTCACCAACTACACAGGCATGATTGGCCGTTGGGCGGTGCGACTGCAAGAATACGACTTCGATATCGTCCATCGGAAGATGGAGCAACACGGCAACGCGGACGGGCTAACACGTCTGCATCGATCTGCCAAGGTACCCAAGGGCAAGGAAATTACACCGTGAAAGGAGCTGGACTTGACAAACGAGCCTAAGTACGGACAAGTGGCACTTCTCCCGCGTGGCAAGAAGCAGAACAGTGGCAATGGATGACGGAACTAATCCCACTACCCCTCTCTCTCCCCTTTCCTCCTCGTCTCTCCTCTCCCTGCCTGACAAATTTTGCTATTTTTGCGAAGCTATCTCCCTCGTATACTCGGTCTCCATGCGTCCTAACGGGGAAGGGTATGTTGATTGGATAGATTGCCGATAGTGTGTCGCACGAGCCCACGGCTTGTGCATCCAATACAGAAACGATAGTAAACCTTGGTTGTGCCCTTTGTGCCGGACCGACAAGATTCCGACCGAGGCTCGCTTTTTGGATGCCACGTCAGAAGGGTTGGAAAAGACCCGAAGGTTTAAAAGGGTCGAAGTATGGACTGATATCGCCTTGATTGGCACCCTGGTTGGCAACCCCCTCCAGGATTTCACCAAGGAAGATCGGGGGGGGGCCAACGAGAGGGTTCGCGATTACAGATGGATAGAGGGCAGATTAGAAAAACGGAAAACTGACGGCAGTGGGATTTGGATGGTTGTACCACATCCATTCATGAGGTATGACTGGGTTAAGATGGCACATGAAGAAACTGCAGTTCATTTCGCCGTACGGATCACAGAGTCGGCTATCGACAAAAATGAGTGGTACTGGTCCAATATCCGTGACGATGTAAAGTACATCGTCGCCAACTGTCAAGTCTGCGCCGCTGATAAGGCGCCGATTCAGCCGCCAAGATCGATAGTACCAACGGTAGTTGAACGACCATTTCAAAAAGTCAGTATGGACACTACCGACATAGTAGTGGCCCCTGGTCCTAACAGTTGTGAGTATTCAGTCCTATTGGTATTTGTCGACCATTTTTTGAAATGGATCGAAGCCTACCCTTGTCGCACGCGACAAGCCGCCGAAATCACACGATACGTCAACCGCTTTCTCGGGATGCACCAGGATACGGAAGAGATCCTGACCGGGTTGAATTCAGGGGAGAAGTGCTAAGGAATCTGGTCTTACATGGCGTCGCCATACGGAATACTGCACCCCACATGTCGCAATCCAATGGGCTAGTGGAAAACGCGAACAGGGTGATAAAGACGGCATTGCGGCGGAATATCGTGGCACGAGATCCGAGGCCCTGGCCCGATATCGTCGACCACATCCTAGCGGTCCATCGCGGTACCCCTCATGAATCGACGGGGCTAAGCCCCCTCCAATTAAGGACCAATAGCGTCGCTTGCGTTTCGATACCAAGCCTACCGGATGAATCCACACTGAACCGACGACCCACCAGGGCCATGGCTCGGGACAAGGCCAAACGACACTTGGAACTAATGGAACGGTCCTTGCCCAGGCTAGCCCGAAAACGGCACAGGATGACCGAATTGGACCAAGGCCGACAGATCCGAAGCTACGAGGCCCGGAATGGAAACGCAGGACCACGGCCCCAGTACAAATTGGGGGACATCGTGCAGGTGAGGAAATGTGCTCGCCAGGGTAAGCTAGCACCACGATTCTTCGGGCGATTTCACGTAATCGAACTCGGACCGAACGGCGTGAACACCGTGCGGCTTACACCTGAGGTCTCCGGCAGCCGATCGGCTCGCCCGATTATCTGCCACGTGTCCTACCTCCGTCCCCTTCCTCCCTCTCCATCTTCGCATTCACCCGATTCCTCCTCCACTGCACAGGAAGGCGACGACTACCTCTCTCCTATCTCTCCATCTCCTTCCTGTTCTCTCTCCCTTACCCCGTCACCATCGTCATGAGCTTTGCAACGAAGCAAGTGATCGGCGCGCGGCTTCTTACTCCGCGGGGGCGAATCAGCGTCATACGGCAGGTGCAACGGCCCCATCTCTGCTCTGATCTCCTCCTGTTTGCAGCTTTCTTCAGTACGTCGGCGATCTACGCAGCGGCAGAGTTCCGATTCATGGAAGAGGCAACTACGCGCGTTATGGCCGAGATCTCGGCCTTTTGACGGCTATCCCCTCCCGGGATTAGCCATATCGTCGTCGTCGTCGTCTTTACAGGAGACATCACCGCGATTCCGCCGGAGATTCACTCCGACATCTATCAGACGTTGCGCGTCTGGGCTGGGGAAGTGCGGACAGTGTGGACCGATCTCCTGGCTCGGCGAGGAGACACCGGCGTGCCGGCGCACGACACGGACCTCCAGCTTCGCTCGTTTCGAAGCTCGCCAGCGATCGTGCTCCCGGAGCTTCGTCCCTTCGCGTCGCCCCAATGAGTCATCGTTGCGTCTCCTACTTCGGCCTCCCCTCCAGCATCCCCACCCTTTGGCAGTCTGTGCAGGCTCCTACTCTCTCCTACCGTGTTAAGGAGAACAGTGCGCCGCTATTGAGCGAGGAAAAGTGGGACACGTGGTGGGAGGACTATATCGAGCTCGCCTTCTGTCTATTAGAGATAGAGTTCCGTTGGTCAGAAGCGGCCCCGTTCGGAGAAGGACCAGAGCACCCAGAGGACAGCGTGGAGCTTTTGATCATCCAGGCCTGGAGAACGGCGGAGCAAGGTGACCTGCTGGGAATCGTATTTGGAAAGGCGGAGGAAGGTAATCTCGCCTTGATCACAGACGAATTGCTGGTGTTTCTGACTCAGCTCATGGACGATCTGCCCCTGGACATCTTGTCGCACAGTGACAAGCAGCCTGACACCCACATGCTGTCTCGAACGCTCGAGCCGCACCTTGTGCGGTCCACGTGTACGGAGATTGACGAGGACAACTGTCTCTATCCTTCCCAGGCGCTCTACCTGGAGATCGACGTTACCGATCTCACGTTTTGGGACCCGATTGCGAGGCAAAACGCGGCGCAGGACGAGGAGATAGGGGGAGCAGGCGAAGAGGAGGAAGAGGAAGAGCCATCGAGCGAAGAACGAGACGATCCAGACTACGTACTGGAAAGCGAAGCAGGAATAGCCGACGAATCGAGCCAACCGCGGAACGAGGAAGTAGAAGAAGGAAACGAGCAAGCGGAGTCGGATTTCGAAGGATTCGAGGCTGAAGTGCGCGACGCGGCTCGAGAAAGAGCGCAAGAGCACAGAAAGCGAAAGCGCCAGGAGACCGCGGAGGGAAAGCGACCTGCGACAAACGATCCGTCGATCGGGGACCCATGGCGTGATCAGGAGCCGCCAGAAGAAGAGGACGATGGAACCGGAGCGGAGGGATCACGAAGCGGAAGAAGAAGAAAAAGTGAATCGCCAGTTTCTTCCGGCTCCCCGTCTCGATCCTCCATTCGTTTACATCAAGATCTCGGCGTTCGGGTTTCGTCCCCGGTCGTTCTCTCGCCGACCCCGTGACTACCTCATGCTTACCCGTCTTCCCGATAAACCCCCATTCCCCGATGGTTGGTGTCCTTTCCCCCACCACCTTTTCTACCATCTCTACGCTACCCGCCTTCTAATCTCTGTTTACCCGCATGCCACCACCCGTTCTGTGGTTGATTCCTTTCTCCTTCACGTGCTCCTGTTTAGCGCAGACTGGCGGGAATATAACCACGTAGAAATATACAGTATTATATCTAGAACTATTCCCGCCTGCGAAAACTACGAAGATTTTCGCGCCACTCTGCGACGGACCCTTTCCACCATTTACCCCGACTACATCGCCGCTTTTCACCACCTCCATGAGGTCCCTCGTTTCCCCCGCATCCATCGCTCCTTCCACTACGCAACCCTTCCTGATTTCGCCTCTCCCGCCATCAATCGATTCATGCCCCCTCTTCCTCCGAACCATCCGCCACCTCCACCTTCAGTGATTCGACTGTCATTCCCCGGGACCATCTAGGGTCTAGGTCTACCCTCCTGCTGCACTGATGTATGGCTAATGGACATGTGTCATAACGGCGGCACGTGTAATCTCCCTACTTGGAATGTCGAAGGCCTACCCTGAGGAAGTAGTAGAAGAGCAGTGCTGCCACGTAGGACGACGTCCACACTCACTTTTACGGTAAGTGGCATAAGAAAGAGATGCTCCGCGTGTCGGTCGATCAAAGAAATCGACACGTGTCACAAGCAAGCAGAAGCTTGCTAATTCTGGGCACCCCTGGGCATCACATATGTGACGAACCACTTTTTGTAACGCACGATTTTCTGCGCGGTTGCAATAAGGGGTCCTAAGTTGGGAAGGTTGGGCCAATTACGGGAGATCGGGATTGGTGGGAAATTGCATCAGTGTCCTTGCTTTTCCGTCTTTTCCGTCGTTTCTTTGGTTGGGTTCAGAGCTAGGCATATCCTGGGATGGCCGGTTGATTGATCGGTCGGCTGGATGGCTGGCTCGCCTCCATGCGCGTGATTAATAAATGTTGACGTCGTTTCTTTTGCTTCGGTTTCAATCTTTTGGACGCGGACATTGCGCGGGAATTTGCACAGTTCTTTTTGAATTTTTCTTTCAAATCTTTTTTTTGAATTTTGTCGAGCCCTGATGGCTCTCGGAATTTCGGATTTTCCTCTCGGAACCTGTACTTTTGCTTTTCGCATTAGTTAAGAATTTATGAATTTTGTAATTAGGACTTTCTCTTGCCGCGCGACACCCTTATTTGCTTACGCGCTTCTTTTTGCGGCTACAGCGGAATTCTGATTAGTCGGCGTCTTTAATCGGGTGTGTAACCGTAATCTTGTGTTGGCGTCATTGTAACTGTATCTTTCTTCTTGCTCTTCGTCCTTCCCGCCCTCCTTTTTTCGCTGCATTTTTGAAACTACGGACTGCATGCTCAGATCGATGCGTGGAGAGTGGCTACGTCCCCCACGCCGCGGCCCGGTCATGCAGAACGTAGGCGCTCCCTCGCTAATCTCCCCTCTAAGTCTTGGTGATTCCGTGTTCTTCACGCATGCATGCACGCTATAAATTTCGGCTGCGCGATTAGTTAGCTCTCTTACCCCGTTGTTGGAAGCTCGGGGTTGCGCGATCAGGAAGGGTCAGCACACGAGCAAAGTTAGAGGTGAGTAAAGTGGGAGTTGGGCAACCCGACGGGCTGGTGCCGAACGCGCGGGATTGACGTGGGCCACGACGGACTGTGGGCACGGGCGAATCCGACGGGTGCGGGAGGACTAAGCGGGGTGACGACTTCGTGGGTTGGTGCGTGACGACGAACTGTCCGCATCGGAGAAGAGAGAGAAGAGGAGAGAGAGTTGTCGATGGACGTGGATTTGCTGTTTCTTTGTCTCTCCCTCCCCTTCATCTGTGTACATACATTTTGATTGCGGCTCCGGGCGGTCGCCCGTTCTTGTTTTCGTCTCGGCTTTCTGGAATCTGGACTTGGGTTTTTGCTCACACTTATCTTTGCGATTTCCATCTCGATTGCATTATATGTATGATTACTGAATGTATGGATGTATGGATGCTATGCCTACTTGTCTATCTTTGGCTGAAAATCCTTGTCCTTGCTTTTGTTTGTGTCGAATCTTCGCCTGCACCTGATACAGTTGTAGAGGGGATAAGAACTTGGCCCCGATAGCGATTTTGTTCTCGTTGTTGCTTAGATTGTGGTGCGGTCGCTTCTCGCATAACCGAACCTGCGGAGCCATTAGGCACTCGAGCCTTGCGAACGCCGCGCGAGGACACGTGTGAACACGATCCGAATCGCGCGTTTACACACATCCCCGTGCGTCGATCCGTCCCTCCAAAAAAAAGATTCGCGACGAAACCATCATCCCGTATGAGCACGCTGAGGCGCAACTAAGTTCGCCTGTCCTACACGTGCTCGTGCGCGGTGACGATAACCCGACCAGAGGTATCCCGTACACGATGACACCATGACACGATCTTGGAGCTCAGACTCATCCTACGACCCGGATTACTTCACCCCTTGGATAAACGAACTCCTAAGGCTGCGATACCCCTGTCATACGGAGAATCGACTATGTCCGCGGGAATTCCACTGCGCCACCTCTAGCGACCCCCGGTGCTCTAATTTCCCTTCCCCCGACCATACCTACTATTTCATCCACCTGGGATTTGTCGTCATCACCACCAGTTTCCCTCCTTTTCGCCTTCTTCTCCCGTATCATCAACTCAGCGTCGTTCCGTGGCCGGCCATAGCCCCCTATTGGCCCAGCACGCCCTGCGGGAATTGTCGACGTAGCGGCGAACCGGAGAACCCCGGAATTCCGAAGGCCCAACCCAAATACGCAGCGGCCTGCGCCACGTGGCGGCCCCCGAAGGTCCAACTTTTCGGGACCGCCTCCACCGCGGAGGGACTTTCCCGCAAACCGTCGCCCATAGTACCCCGGCCCCATCGGGCCTTGAGTCGCTGCGCACGCGCCCCTTATTCGCCCAATTACATTCCTACCCTTAAGACTCCCCCACTTTCCCAAAAATCTTTGGCACACCCCTTTTCGCACTTCCAGGCCCACATTCTACTCCGATCAGGAAGTCGCGCTGGGCGTGAGGTTTCGGCGTCACAACATGGCTGTTTCTTTCTTTCTTCGTTTTTTTTCTTTTCTTTTTTTTTTTTGGTTTTTTCTTTTTTTTTCTTTTTTTTCTTGGGTTGCGTGTCGTAATGCGTCGTGCCGGTCCGCGGCTGGGAAAAAAACAAACAAACAAACAAACAAACAACCCCATGGTTGGGCCACGGCCGAGATGTCTCGGCCACAGCCGAGATTTGCAAGTACTACCCTTCACAGGCAAATGCGAAGTCTCAAGAGTAGCCTACTCCGAAGAAGTGGGGGGCTCGGGACAGGGATGGAGGCCAAAAACAGAAAAAAGAAAAAGAAGAAATAAAAAAGTAAAGGAACGAGGAACTTGAAATCCACCTACGTCGGGAAGGCCCTCACCTCACCAGTGCTTTGAGGAATGTATCTGGCCAGGAAGGGAGGGGGGAATAGGAAAGAGTGCAAAAGCGTCAAAACGCAATCACCTCACAGCACACACGTCATAGTCGTAAACGACACAAAAGCCGCAAGCGACATGGATGAAAGAAGTTGTACTTGCATTATGAAAAAATATCGTGAAGTCCTGGGAAAAGCCCGGTGGTCAACACACAGTGAAGCGCAAGCATAAGTGGAAGGGCGACCGCCTGTTCGATCGGCAGAAGCCAGAAAAGAACAGCCGACCGCTCATACCGCACCTGTGTCCTATCGGACAAAAAAAAAGTCCTAGTCGTCACTGACGATTCCCTTGCCTAATTTTAGATCAGCCTAACCTCCGCTACTTCCATCCGTAGTCCCTCACCCGGGTCAGTCCCGGTCCAGCACAGTTCCAATACCCAACCCTTATATCCCGAAACAGTACCCTTCAGGTTCCCCCGATACCAAAGGGTATTCCCTGGCCCCAACCAAAAAACAAACAAACCCTTCCTTCCTCAGTACATAAAACAAACAAACCAAACAACTCGAAAAAACTTCCAATCCATACTCCTAATCCATAATCCTACTGTCCGTCATCAACACGGCGAACATCTTCCAACTCTCATTCTTGTCCCTTGTGAAGTTCCTGAGCGCCCGGCCGAACCAATCATCCGGGTAATTGCACTTCCGCAATCCCATCCTCATGAGGATCAGGGTCTCAAAGGCTTCCATGTTGTCCATGGAATTCTGATAGATCCGATGCAGCGCACTTATGATAGTTGTCATCTTGGCTTGCTTGCTCGTCCAGGAATTAAGTCCTGAAACGATTGAAAAGGAAGCTGCACCCTCTCTCGCAAATCCGCATCGTTCTTCATCCCCTGCACCGTCCCAATGAAAGGGAACTCCTCCCTGATTGTCAATCTACATCCCAAAAACATCCATTGATTCTCCACCTCATCAGTGCGTTTCAAGGTCAACGCCCCATCATAACACCTCTCAAATCTTCTGATTATCTCTTTAGCCTTCTCCTTGGATCCTGCCCTTCGCGGATTGTATGCTACAAAGATAGACGCATCATCCACAAATCTCAGCCCACCAACCAACCTCCTCTGACTACGAAGCGTCAACAAAAAGTCCCATTCAGCCTTCCCACACATAAGGCATGCCAGTGGGGGACTCGAGCTCTTCCCCATTGGTATTCCCACAATCTTTCTCAGCAACACCCCACATGCTCTAGTAAAACAAAACTGCAATTAAAACGACACGAATTCCACCAAGTATCTGAATGAAATTTTAACAAATCCCTCGATCACACCATTCTTACTCAACTTAACACTCTGCCCCGACTTTTTTACCAAAATTCCATCGAAACCTTTTTGAGAGAAGTACCATACACACCACTCTACAACCCATGATTGTCTCGTGTGGGAGCTTATTAATCATATCTTTAATGTCATAAGAAGCTCCCAACACAAGTACGTCAGTACTAGTCCTTGTTAGTCTATCATTCATTCTACTCAATTTCTCCTTCATCATTGAGACTGCTCGAAGGTTAAAATGACTCGTTTCTTGCAAGGCAAACAACAATCCGTTCACCGCTTGCGAAATCCTCTTGCATGCTTTGACAGATGGTTCGTCAAAGGTAGGGCAGATCGGACGGGATTTTTCCGTATCCTTATGCTTGGGTAGTGCATACGCATGCCCCACCTTTCCTCCCCCATTCCACTTTCCATGTTCCTCAAGCCGTCTTCGTTTATACTCTTCACCTGCCATCCTCAGCACGACCCTCTCCTCCTCTACACACTTGAGGTATCCTTCGTTCTCCAAAAAGGTGGCTGCCATCCCCTTTGCATATAGCACAGGACACATCACAAGTGTGTCACCCGGATTTTTGTCCAACAGGGACAGCACCAAGCCTTGGAGTTTTTCTCTCACCGCCACAACTTCTTCGACACATGCCTCCCTCCCTCAGTTCCCCTCTTTCGCGAAGCGATTTCTGCCCTCGTGACATCAACCCGTCCTCCTTTGATCCCCGATTCTTCCCCGAATATCCTAAACGCCTCCTCTATTTCTTCTTTTAGCGTCTCCCTTTTCACCTGACTCTCGTGCCTCGGAACGTTCTTGGAGTTCCTCACTATCGCTGGGACACCTTCAAGATCACCTATTCGAAAATGCACGTGCCCATCCTTTCTTGGATAGGGCCTGCCAGCACATGTGCAGCTGGCCACACGCAACGATGCAAAGCGCCGGTGGTTATGGATCAATTCCCCAACATTTGGACATCTAGTCCATACCACACATGTCCTTCGCTTTATCATTTCCTTCAGGGCACCTTCTATCTTGAGTCCCCCAATCTTCTTCCTCGCAATTCTGGTTACTTCATTCTTCCTTATTCGGTCGTCGAATTTTACCTTCACAATCACCCTCCGTCTCACGCCTAACCCATGTGCACTCCTAATCGCCTGGGATATCATACACCGAGCATTCGTTCTACTCCGCTTCGTCGTAAACGACTTGATGGCACTGTAATACTTGAGCAACTCCACGAGGGGCAAACGCTTCAACTCTGTCTTCAACTTCGGATTCTTGAACATTTTCACCATCTGATCCCGCCGACACAAGATCGCTGGAGAGGCTTCGTCGATTCGCCTCACCACAATTTTTCCCCCTTCTTCAAAAAGTTTCTTACACTTTCGCAGGGGCTTCGTTCTCTTCCCACATCTGACTCTCGTTTCCCCGAACAACCTTCGCACCAACCTCCACCCGTCAGCCCACACGCTACCTCCTCCGGATTCCAGGTGCGTGTCCCCCTTCACTTCGTCTTCACGTAACTTCCGAAGTAAATTCACGACACCTACCGTGGCGTTGTGATCCCCTTTCCTCCTCAGTTCAACTATCTTTTCGGACCCACATCCCTTCTTATCTAACAGTTCCCCACCCTTCGTAGTACTTTTCCTCCTCTGTCTCTCCTTCCTACCCGGTCTTCTCTTCCTCTTTCTTCCCAATCTCTTTCCCCCAGAAACTCGAGAGTTAAGGCTAGGTGACCATATCCTAATCAGAGTCTGCTCCACAACCTCGAGTTCCCTCCTTTCCTTACTTAAAAAAAACGGTATTGCGACATACTTCTGAACTCCCACTTTCCCAAACGAGTTGTATAGTGCTCGCCTCCGCTTACCCCCACTCCCCTTCCCGAGACACGAATGCTCCCGCCATCTCGCCCACAATTGCCTCTCGGTCATCCCAGTATACACTGGTCTGTACCATGGTGATATCAAGATATACACACATCCTTCCGGTTTACTCAGATCTAGACACCCTTTTTCCAGTTCCCCTTCCAAGTACCTTACGAATTTATCCCCCCATCCCACTTCTCCTTCCAGTATTAACTTGATCGTGACTAATCGGAATAGCCTATCATCATCTTTGTTCTTTCCACCGTTAGCCCGTCTTCGCCCGGTGATATCCTTGGCTAAATCCCACAATTTCTCCCTTCTTCGACGTTTTCATTCTTCATCCTCAGATTCACTCTCTTCTTTCGATTCACTCTCTTCTTCTTCCGGTTTTGCTTCCACACCCTTCCCTCTCATCCCTTCCGTTTTCGTACCTCGCGTCATGACTCTTGGTGTTGTCGGCAAGGGGATATATGCCGCATCGTACACAATCGCCACGCGTCGAATCATTAAACGCTTGATTGCCATTTTCCGATTCCCATAACATACCTTCTCCCTTCCACACACCTCCTTCAAGTCGTCAATAGTAAGTGCTTCGAAAAAATCCCGAATCTCCGCCTCGTATCTCTCTTTCCCGCCTGGTCCACATGAGGCCGATATATGCTTCATGGTCAGGTCGATTTTCCTCGGCGTCCCCGACGATTATGGCTCCTCGTCCGTAGCACCCTGTGGTTCTTCGATCTTCTTTCTTGATTCCTCCGATAGTTTAAGATTCGTCCTCTTCTCCGGTGTCATGACCGGTGGACTATTCCCAACCGGTATTTCCGGTCCTCACTTTCGCTTCTCCAATTTCTCATTTATCTTTAGCTTCGCCGCTTGCTTCCGGAGTAGTTGAAGTTCCTCGTCAACTTCCAGTTCCTCCTGACCTGCTATCATCCTCCTCAGTCTCTCTTTTTCTTCTTCCATCGTTTCCCCATATTCGTTGGTCCTGTATACGCCTTTCCCTTTCCAACCACTCCTGCCCCGCCGCACCTCTTCTTCCATTTTAATCTTCCCGCTAATCAAACTCAACAATCTCGCATCTCGTTCCTCCTCATAATGTTGCTTCTCCTTAATCTTCTCGGCTCGCTTCCTTTCTTTTTCAAGCCTCGCTTCCTCCTCCATCCTCCGCCGTTCCTCAGCTGCCTCCCTTTCGAGCCTATCGCGCCTTTCCTGCGCCATAGCAACGAGGTACTCTTGCATTAGCATACTTGTGTCGTCTGTCTCAGCACGCGCATTTCCACTATCCGCCGATCGACTCCTCCTCGCACTACTCTCCGGTTCAGTCGGTCTCCCCATCCTTGTGCCACTTGACCCATATGCGGACGACACGAAGGCTCGCCCAAGTGCCTTCGATTGCCAAAATTCAGCACAATCCCTCGCAAAATGCCCCATCTCACCGCACTTGTAGCACTTCCGTCCTTCGACCAGTGGCCTCGAAGTCCCTTCGTCGGACTTCTTCTGCGAAGATCCATCGCTCATTTTGTCGATCCTCCACGTAACTCCAACTCCTTGTTCCGCTTAACTCCTCGACCTCGACCCTCAACGGTCCCCGTAGTCCTTCTTCAACATTCACAGTAACGAAGCAGCCACCTACCGTAGGTATAATCGCCTAGCAGGTTGCAACCATTGTTGATGGAGTAGGAAAGAGTGCAAAAGCGTCAAAACGCAATCAACTCACAGCAGACACGTCATAGTCGTAAACGACACAAAAGCCGCAAGCGAGATGGACGAAAGAATATGTGACGCCCAACCTCACGCCCAGCGCGACTTCCTGATCGGAGTGGGATGTGGGCCTGGAAGTGCGAAAAGGGGTGTGACAAGGATTTTTGGGAAAGTGGAGTCCCAGGTCAGAACTGAGATCTCCTGTGGCAGGGTCTTTCGGGGGCACGAGTGCAATTTGGCGAAGAGGGCGCCTTCGGGTTACAAGGCGGATGGCATGTGCGGTTCACTCAGGACCGAGTGAGCCATTGGCTTCGGGGACGGTGGTTTATGGACTGGCCCCTTTGGGGTAGGTGGGGTTCTAAGGAGTTCGTCTGTTGAGAGTTGCCACGTGGCGCTGATCGTCGCGCGTGCGGTGGTGATTCATACCAGCGTCTGGTGGTGATGACGACGAATCCCGGGTGGATGAAGTAGTAGGTATGGTCGGGAGAAGGGAAATCAGAGCACCGAGGGTCGCTAGAGGTGGCGCCGTGGAATTCCCGAGGACATAGTGGATTCTCAGTATGGAAGGGATATCGCTGCCTTAAGATTTCGTTTATCCAAGGGGTGAGATAATCCGGGTCGTAGGATGAGTCGGAATTCCAGGACCGCGTCATCATGTCATTGCGGTATCCTGAGTTGCCTAAGGACGAGTCCGCGGCGATGGCGGTCGCCACGTGCGAGCACGTGCAGGCCGCGCGACTCGCGTCGGACTTACACGTGCTCGTGCGGGACGATTGCGTCGTTGCGGATTTCAAGATGGCCACTCCCAATCGGACAGATTGATGGTCCCGATGAGTCGACGCTGGGGGATACGTATAAGTGCGCAACTCAGATCGCGTTTTACACGTGTCCTCGCGAGGTGTTCACCGAGCCCGTCATCCGCCCGCTTAATCACTTCATGATGTTCTGAGTTATGCAAGATGGAATTATCACAAAACAGCTCGATCCAAAGACAAGCAAACACACGGACAAAATCATCAATTGCGCGGAATTCCTATTCTATCTATGTGTGCATCGAATGCAACGAACAACGCAAAGAC